TAAAATATTTTTCACATTACGTATTTTCGAGTCCCGATGTTAGTGATCGCATTATGTACTGAAAATTTTTTTGTGTGTAATTCCCTTTAAAATGGCTGGCAAGCATAAAAGTGAGAGTTCTCGTGGTGCTGAGTGGTCTGAGAAGAAAAAGAGAGACCCATTTTAGAATTTCTATGTATTATTTTTGCCTTTTCGACTTACGACCTGGTCGTCGGGACAGAACGCCGTCATAAGTCGGGGAGAGACTGTACTACATATGTGTGTGTGATGTTATTTAAAGTGTCAATATAATATCTTCAGACTTGTTTTATGCCAACACTACTTAGGCAGGAGGTATAGGTTATAATGTTTCCCTCCTCCTCTCTGTATGTCCTTAATTTTTTGTGCTTCATAATTAACACAAATATAATCAAGAGACTCTAGCTGTGTTGTGGTTGTCCTGTGTACATAACTGCATTTTTAATTCCATAAGCTACGGGTATTACATATACTGTACTGTACAGTCAGGAAGGCACTCTAAAAAAACCACACACACTCACTCACTCACTCACTCACTCACTCACTCACTCACTCACTCACTTACTTAAGAACAGCTGGGGGGTTATAATTTTTCTTTTCATGGCATCACTTGATTATGTCATGAATGGATCAGTATGTCACAGACGAGGGTACTATACATTACTGTACAACAACTGTGCATTTACAGGATTAATGGCCCAAAGCAAGAATTTTTTCTCTGATATGTTAGATACGATTGATTCTGATAACTTAAAGGAGAGTGATGATGAACCTAGGGTGTTTGTTATGCTGGGAAATGTTCAAGAAACAGTAGAGGAAGAACAAATAAGAGATTCGAACTTCTTGTGATGATGAGCTCAGCCCGAGCAATTGTAGGCGGTGTGGGAGAAACATGGACACGGGCCATTATCAACACACTTCATACCACATCAGTAGACATTTGATTAAAAGAAAAACCTCAGGTTTGACTAATGCATGTTCAGTAACACATGATTCAGAGGAACTGAGACCTGTGCTTATTGTTCTGTGAAAGAAATTCAGAGAAATTTACTCCTTTGCAAACCTAAGCATTCATTGTAGCTTTGTGTAATGAAAATTGCTGCACAGAGATAATTACATTATTTCGACCTCCTCCAGTTAGAGGGTTAACATACATTGAATTACATCTCTTTTAAATTTCCATTGAGTTTTATGTAAGTGTACAACTGTGAGTTAAATAGCATTACTGTATTTTGGGACTACTGTAGTACTTTAAAAATCCTTGTTTACTTTCTTTTACATCTAGATTACATTATACATGAGGCATATTGATGTGCACCACTCTACTACACAGTACAGTCAGGTTTATGAGCAGAGATAAGCAAAAAGAATGCTGGCAAAAGTATTAACATTTTGGAGCCCCCCTCTTTTTCAATTTTCATTCTTGGGTTATCACATTACATTTGCAAAATGTTTAATTTTTTATTTATTTTTCTTCCACAAATATTTAGCTAATTTTTAAGAAGATCGTTGCAAAAAGTATTTAGTGTAAAATAATGATAATTGAGTCTTTATTATGGGCATCTTTGTATGACCTGTTTACATATACTGTACAGTATAAGCCATTTTAATAATGTAATAATTTTAGTTGTGCCAATAACACTACATGGCTCTCAGTCACAGACTCACTCACTGATGCTGGAAAAATTTTCTTCAATGTGTTAAGTGACTAGATTCTACTAAATCTATCTATGGTTTCTTAGTCTAGACTGAACTCAATTCAGGTAAACAAATTGTAAATGCATCATCAGTCCCATATATCACTCCTTCTTAAAATATAATTTTACTTATACAGTATTTGTTTAGTTTTCCATAATTTCTTCGATTTCACATTTGAAACAAGTTTAACAGAATTGAGCACAGCGTATTCAGTGCAGAGGCTTATAGGCTTCTTTCACTTTACTGTTATGTGCATTACCAGACTGGGTTGTTAAGATGTTCAATTGGTTTCTATATTTGTAGTTCTTACACCATTTACTACTGTATAGGTATTAGTTTTCCTCCACTAGGGTACATAGTTACTTTCTCTGATATCTGCAAATACTTACCCTCCCATAAATGTTTCACAAATGCTGCTCTAGCTTATAATCGTGCACGTAAGTGAAACAGAAGCTTTGGAAATGTTATTAAGAGTTGTGACACTTACTGAACATAGATTAAGTAAAGTGAATTACACAGGATTTAAATTAAAAGAGAACGTTGAAATCAGATGCACAAGTGTCACATGACACCACAGGCAGATGGATTACAGTCTGCTGTTGAGTGGTGCTTTATAACGTCATTCTTTTATGAAAAGTTCAGTGAATTCACTTGCATATCACAATTTTTCTTTGCAAAAACACACAAATATCGAGAGAAAACCGAGTTTTGTATTGTGTATTGTGTCTTGGGGAAGCCTAATGTCGTACCACAAATCCTATTTGTTAAAAGTATTTACAACTCACTTGCTTGTTTTTTCTCTATTATTATTTCTATAGAGACATACACAAATATAAAAGACTACTTATGAATATAGCACACAAAACCATTTCCTTGACAATGAATTAAATGCAGTATAATATTAAGAAACTCCTCTGGCAACTGCATGTGAATCCTGATCCAGTGATAACCTGAGTCTGGTGGGAGGCACTAGTTTCTCCTTGTCAGTTGTGCTGTGATCTGTTATTTAAACATTGTGATGCCATATCTTTAAAGTGTACTTTGTTATTGATATGATTGGCAATTATTGTGTTCTGCTCTTTAATTATTCCACTATTCTTATGATTTTGGACCACTTTGGAGATTGAAAAGAAAATGAAGGTATAGGTAATGATTCTTTGTTGAAGTAGAAAAATTTACATTACTGTACTTTACTATACTATTTAACATAGTCACCCAAGTAATTCCATTTCTGATGGAAATTTTGAAATTCAAATCTTACAGTCGCAGTAACACCAGAGATGTGAATATCATGTTACTGAATTGCGTTGTGACAGTATAGAATTTTAAGCTCGATACATTTGATGCTTGATAAAGTTATGCACACATTCTCTGCATTATTATGGTTTAGCAATTTTTATCGTCAATTACTGCATGCTGTGAGTGTTGTTTCAGTGTTTGTAATGACTCGATTTGAGTTTACCAGTGAAGTTGATTGGTTGGACTGACTTAACTCAGGCAGTGTCATAGGCTGATCCAACTTGATTGGAAGTATCTCAGCGGGTCTACTTTAAAATCTAACTTGGTAACTGGGCCAGAGTATCTGGATTAAGGGGTGAATAGTTTTATTCCTGAAGTCGTATGAGGGAGTAATAATTTATACAACTGTGGTTTAACCTTAGGGTATGGATCTTCACGTAAATGTCCTCCATTAGTTATCGTGTGCTTCCTGTTGTTGTGTAATTTATCACAGGGAAACTCTTCAGGGGGTTTGTAAACAAGTTAGATGAGGTTAGCTTGTTTCATGAATGATAGCAATTGGGTCATTATGGCTCATGGGTGCTGTAGAGTTTTCTCTACCATCCATTTGAATCGATATTCCCATTTAAGATGGAGTTATACTGTCCATAACAGCAGTTATCTGATGATGAAGGAACTCTCCAGTGCCCTGGACCCCAAGCTTAGTACCTTAGGAAGGAGTACTTGGGGCTGATGTTCTCTATGCTCTTGAAATTGTTCTCATTTAGTCAAAATGAGTATCTTGCTTAGGCTGCTTGCAACCCATTCTTTTCCCTGTAAATGTATCGATAGAAAGGATAGAGCAAGGAATAAAATGCGAGAAATTTGTTGATGCAAGTAATGTGTGTCTTTAATATATATTGACCTCAGAGGGTTATTTCCACATCTTGCAGAGAGGAGCACTCTTGTGGTTAGCAGGTTCAACACAGGTTCAAAAAGTTTCACTGGATGTTTGGCTTCCCCTTCTTTTAATCTGTCTGTAGATAGATGAGAGTCCTGTTTCCAGAACAAAGATATGGTTATCTAGGAGAGAGGGAAAAGGAAAGGTGTTAAGTCCCCTCCTCTGTTTATGTTGTGAAGTCAGCTGGAAGACACTGTATGGATCTGGAGGTTGCAACATGGACAGGAAGTGTCACAGTTGATGTGACATCGCAATTTGTTAACATCTGACCTTGAATGGTGGCTACTCTCTCTCCAAGATCCTTTTTAGGGCCCTAGTTCACTGGCAAGGTATATCTAATCAGTGGGTTGGCGACAGTTACCATTGTTTAGGGGTTTCTTGGGGTTTTAACCCCATTGACTTGGTGAAGAACCTGTCATAAAATGGGATTTCCAGGAACAGTCCATTTTTATAAAATGTTATAAAGTTTCCACATTTTGCCATGAAGTGTGTATATATATATATATAATATATATATATATATATATATATATATATATATATATATATATATATATATATATATATATATATATATATATATATGGGATACTTATAAAGCCAGAGATTTGGATTGTGTAAATATACAGTTAACCTGAGACAGACTCTGGAGTGGTGTAGATTCTAGGAAGTAATAACTAATAAAAGGGCTGTAGAGTGAGTGTATAGAGTGTAGGTAGAAGAGACTAATGATGGGAAGGCAGCCAACACCATTAAGAGAAGATTGAACATGGAGCAATCTAAAGAAATATTTAGATAAGGCCACCTGGAGCCTTTTTTATAATGGTCTGTACGGTACCTGTGAGGGGACTAGTTTGAGGAATGAAGTGACATATAGATGGGGATGGATAAAAAGAAAATTACTCTACAGTTTAGCCAAATAAAATTAAAGTCGGTATTTATATTCTTGTAGCTGGGTTGTACATCAGTATTTCATGATGCAGTATTGTCATATCATTATGGATATGATAAATTTTCTTTCTTGTGGAATTCAGTGTAATGGAATGCTTATTATTATTCTACTCGCAAATTTTTCATTAAAATAACTTTTAATTTTTATTTACAGAACTCGGTCGGGTTCCCGTAGTTCTGGAGGGGCAAGTCCAGCAACCTTGCATGGAAGGGCCCCATACAAGTCAGCAACTGTCGCACCAGCACCCACAAAACTCTCCACTAAAACTAATTCGCTCAATCGGTTTGGATTTCATAATAGTGCACAGGTTAAGTCAGGTGATAGCACAGACAGTGTAAATTCTATTCTAAGTGATGCACAGACAGTGTCTGACTCAAACTCTAATATTTTTGACCTGTGTGATGATGATATTAAAAATAACAAAAGCACAAAGAAAAGCAGTGACTCTCTTCAGTGTAACAACATCCATATAGAAACACCGAGGTTGGAATCGCCCTCTACGAAACTAATTAAAACTCCAAACTTAAGTAATACTCCCAGGTTAGGTTCTGGTTTACAGCCAGGTCGCATCACCGCTTTTACTCGTCAGCTTCCTAAGCCACAAGTAGTCACGGTAAAATCTGTTAGTCCAAAGGTCCAAGCTCCCAGATCGCATAGTCCTAAGCTCAATAGTCCTCACCATAGTCCAATGCCTAATACCACTAGGTTTCAAAGTCCATCAGTTAGAGATAGAATAAAAACTGTCTCATTGAAACCTCTAACACAAACTCCATCTAAGACTCAAACAGAACAGACTTCAAGAGGAAAGCAACAATTGCCAAGTAACGGTCAGCATATTCCACGTGTGTCGAGAGATTCCGAATCCTCTACCAGGTCTGTCACAGAAGCTGACTCAGGACTCGGATCTTCAAGTGAAAGTGATAAAATCCAAGGTGAGGGAGAGACAGATACCCTCAAGTCTTGTAACGAGGAAAGTAATGAGGACATGTCTGATGCTTGGTTAAGAGAAAAGATGAAGTCCAACGAAACGGTAAAGAGACGGCCAGGAAACTTGGAGGTTTGCTTTAATGGTACAGGAGCTTTTGAATTAGCGAGACGCAGTTTAGAAGTGAAAGGAGCAAGTGTTACCCCATCTCCTCCAACTGCAAAGTCAGAAATTGTAATGGAAAAGAAATCAAAATCCAGTAAAGAGAAACGTGAAGGCCCAATAACCTATGGCATGGCCAGACAGAAATTTGCACCATACAGTCGTAATCGCTTTGGATATGGATACCAGTCTGGTGTTGCAAGGAGTGGGGACTCTTCTTCATCTAATAATTCTAATAGTCCAACATCCACTGTAATTAAAACACCTGGTAGTTCAGGGTTAGTCAGAAATCGTGTAGCGTCATTAGAAACAACCCCAAGTAAGAAGCCCCAGCAGACACCGGTATTAAGAAGAACTACTCTAAAGAAACCTATTGTTAGACCCACCTCTTTGGAAAAGACGCCTCTCCTAGTCATGCCTGTTACTGAAAAAACGATTGAGCTGAGTAAGCCTGTATGTCGAAGATTAGAGTACAGCGAGTGTAAAATAGTGAAAAATGATACACTGAAGGATTCGAACTGTGAGATACAACAAGGAATAAATCCTAAACTCTCTACCTCAAAGACAGTTGCAGGGGATATGTTGATTGTTGGATCAGTGGAAACAGAAATGCAGAAAGATACAAATATGCTCTTTGAGACAGATAATCATGGAAGTTACTATGAAAATTCATATTGTAAAATTGCAGAAGTTGGCAAAAATGAAGTACCTTTAGCAAATAATATTGATAGTAGTCTTACAACTAGTTTCAGTAAAGGTTCTCAAGATATGCGTGAAACTGAAAAACTAACAATTGAAGAAATAAGTGGAGACCTTTCACAATCGACTGGTGCTGCAGACACGCCAAATGATATCACAGACACTAGTTTTTCTGATAAGATAGAAGATGTAGTTGAAGGTGAAGTAATCTCAAACAAGCATATCCTCCAATCTCCTGATGATGTGGGTATGAAAGCTCTTACACCTCAGTCAGAGTCCTCTTTTGAAATTTTGGAATCTCTCAGTGAAACAATTGATTTAAATTCAGAAGACATTAAAGATGATGCTGATCACTCGGTAACAGAGCCAGAGAGCAGCTATGAAAGTAAGGCAACAGTGTTTGAAACCAAGAGAGAATCTGATGTAGATTCAGCTGCATCCCTCTCAGGATCATCAGTTTCACTACCCACTGAAGGATCAGCAAAACCAGCTGTGCTACAGAAACCTAAACAGGCTGTAACCTCTCCTGGGCCACAGACTGCTTCTAATAAATTTGTTAATTCTGTATCAGAACTTCCCTCCAACGCGCAAAAAAATAATTCTGAAAGTTTACAAAAATCTACTGCTGGATCACCAGTTGATAAGAAGAGACCACTTTGCCAAGCATTGTCTGCTATGAAGACATCATTTGAATCAAAGACTTCAATGGAATCTTCAGCTGAATCACAAAAGTTAGGGGGTATGGTGAATTCAATGGCTGAATCAAGTGATCGGTCAACACTATCTGGTATGTGCACCCCGACACTAAATGCTGGCAGGGGAGACTTGGATCAAGATTTCCTGATTGATGATGAGATAGCTGACCAACCAGGTCTCATGTTTGGGGAATCAACAATGGCATCTTCGTTTTTCACTGATGATGGAATATTTGATGATATGGCATCACCTTCTCCTAGTCATACAGCCCTCAAGTCAGGTAAGTCTAAGTCTCTCTGTTAGCCAAATAAAATAATAAAAGTGGCATCCCGTAGTGACGGGGTTATTAATGTAAATTAAATTAATGGATTTTTTTTCTCAGAAATTCCTTTAATGATAATGTTGTGGAATTTTAGTTTACAACTTTTAACTCCATAAATACAGTAGTCACTTTTTACTCTTATTAAAAAGATAAACAAAAGGATTTTCATTAATGAAATAAGAAACATGAACTTGTGTCGACTTTTTCCTCATTAAAGGCAAGTTTAGGATTGTAGATGATATATATATATATTACTGTACAGTAAACTATAAGAGGAAAAGATAACTACTGTACTGTACTAAGAGTAAAAGTTTATTTAGTGAGTGATGAGGATACAGTACTGTACTGTATAGTGCTGTACCTCTGTTGGGTAAGATGAAATATTTTATACAGCTTTGTCATTGTATTTCTCGTCAGCACTACAATTACTGTAGACATAATAGTACTGTACATAAAGACAAGAAAATTTGGTCTAAATCTAAAGAAAAACTTTGAAATTAAGTAGTGTGTGATATACATAGTTAATATAAAGAGAAGTAAAAAGCTTTAACATCTGAACTATGCCTTTATTATTCAGGAAGTTAAACAACTATTTTGCCAAAAAAGCTGTAGCATGCTTATGGAATAATGAATAGGTCATGCAATATTTAATGTAAAATTAGGAATTTGTAATGCTGCTAATGCAACACTTTTATGGTATCAGTAACTAGCATAGGTACAGTTACTATATTAATAATAGCTTTGAAGTCACCAATTTTTACTGTAGTATGAAAGTAATTTAAAGAAATATAGTACAGGTTGTACCTCTCTAGCCCGGCAACCTCGGGACCTGACCGGTGCCGGACCATGGAAATTCACCCTTTTCCTGGACAGATAGTGACTTGCACTTACATCAGCACCACTTTCACTGCTTCGTGGTCTCTTTGAAGACATATTGAAGGGTGAAATGTCGTACAGTAGCCTCTCAAATTTCGCGAGTTTTTAATTCAACGTTTTTTATTTGGAGACAAAAAACACTACATAATTAAAAATTTTGACGGCGGAAACTCGAATTTCGACGGGTTTGAGCGGCCTGCCAACGTTCGGACGTGCACAATCGTGTAAAACAGCGTCATTTCTCTTATGTATAAAAGATTCATTATTGTTTATTACTGAATGTCTTTTTTATTGAATTAATGTTTGTGTGCAAAATGAGCAATACAATTCATTAATAATACGTAGAATATTAAAACACACGAGGAAATGAGACAGCATTGTTTTCATTGATTACAAAACCAGTGACTGAGTGGTTCTACATATAAAACAAGAAAATAAGACCCTGGTTGTAGCTGTAGTAAAATTAATGTAAAAAATTAATATGGTTGTTTTAAGTAATGTTATTTAATGTTAATAAATAGAACAATAAAAGTCGCAAACCATTAATGTTAAAGAAAAAAAGTGAGACTGCGAGTAAGTGCGCACATGTGAAAAACATATCGTCATTACTCTACATAAGAATATGAAAGTAACAGTTATTTTCTGTTTATATATGTTTTAATTGATGTTTCTGATTTTTTTTTTATTGAATTAATGTTTGTGTGTGCAAAATGAACAATACAATTCATTAATAATTCGTGGAATATTAAAACACACGAGGAGACGAGACGGCTTCCGGCATTGTTTTCGTTAATGTTTACAAAACCAGTGACTGATTGGTTCTACATATAAAACAAGAAATTAAGACCCTTGTTGTAGCTGTAGTAAAATTAATGTAAAAATTAATATGGTTGTTTGAATTAATGTTAATACATGAAACAATATAAGTAGCTAACCATTAATGGTAAAGGAAAAAAGTGAGACTGCACATATTTAAGTGCGCACATGTGAAAACGTATCGTCATTACTCTACATAAGAATATGAAAGCAACACTTATTTACTGCTCATATATATATTAAAGGGTTAAATGTTGTTCTCTGTATAGACAGAGAGAGAGAGAGCTGAACTGCCGGATGTAAACAAACCTTAATTTCCCGCTGCTTTGTTGTTGTTTTTTACGGGGATTAGCCCACCCGGGCACAGGTCACTTACCCACATTGGGGCCCGAGGGGCGAAAATGTAATTGTACTCCTGTAATAATAATAATTCAGATAAAAAAAAAAAAAAAAAAAAAGGAGCCGCTTATCTACCTATTGGGCAAACTAAAATCGTTCCGGACCACGGGAGTTTCCGGACCACAGAATGCCGGACTAGAGAGGTACAACCTGTAAACTCTTTAACATTTTTTTTTTCTAAGTTTTGGCAACACATTGTACAGTACAATATAAACATTTTGGTCATCACTTTCATGGGGTCATACACCATTGATTAAAATTACAATCTCTGCCTAAATTGTATTGTTCTTTGTTAATCCACCTCCTATTACACATACTTAGGTCATCTTTTTGTAAACATTTCACATTTTGACTTCTCTTTAACTTCTGAAATTTGTCAAAGCTTGTCTGACATCTTAGTTTACCATCCCAAAAGGTCAAAGCTGATAGCCCTCTTCTTGTTGTTGTCCTATTACCCGATACCTGGTGTGACATTACTTCTGATTCTGTCACCAGAGACCTTCCACTCTCATGAAATGGGATGATATTAAATAACCTAACTAATGTTGTACAGTATACTTTTATACTGTACAATAGTATACTGAGTATACTAACTATATATATATATATATATATATATATATATATATATATATATATATATATATATATATATATATATATATATATATATATATATATATATATATATATATATATATATATATATATATATATATATATATATATGTGATTTTCTTTTTTCTTATAGCATTAGCAGAAATGGGGCGAAGTCGAGCCGACAGTGTAGATACAACCTCTAGTCTTGGAGCAGATGATCTCATGCTAGATTTTGAAGCTGAAGAAGGAAAGATGGGCGGGTAAGTTTTATCTCTTGTAGAATGTTCATACAAAACCACTCTGCTTCGTACAAGGCTGGAATGATATGTTATGAGTTTCTGTTCATTTTGTATGAATTTCAGTGCCTAGTTAATTTAGCTGACAAGTTTGATGGCTTTGATGTGACTTATGAGTTTTTAAGATTTGACTGTTGTCATGTATGACAATGGTAGCAGTAAGATGCTTATAAGTCTTATCCATTTTTTTATTATTTACTTGATTTCTGCTTTATAGACTGCCATGGAGTGGATTTGTTTGTGTCCTTTGTTTCACTAATTAATGTCCCTTGTACATAGGCACATCTTGATGTCATTTTCATGTTGATGATATTATTTTGTCAGAAGTATTTGCTGAATTTTATGTTCATAAAATTATGTCATATAATTTTTAAAGTGATACATTTTATTATATTTTTACTTAATATCTTTAGATATAACATCCTTGAGTTTCAGCTCGTGCTGCATGTCAATTCTGTAATTTTCCAGTGCATGATCACAATCAAGGAAGTTGATTGGATGGAGGCAGCACCTGCTGCCTCAAGTGAAGTCACTGAGTGTGACTGATGCCTTTACCAATATGGCGGCGCTTTTCTCTCGGTGACTTCATCCTCCTTGGTTGATCCCTCTATAATGTGCATAATGAATAAAACAGTAGTATAAATCCTGCAGAGTTATCTGTAACCAACGTTTGTTCATAAATAGCTGCGGCAACCTTGGCCTTGTTGCCCTGACCAAGATGGCGGCCTGGCTTCACGTGCCTCTGTTACATACACAGCGAACACCGCCTCCATCCATTCAACCTCCTTGGTCACAATTGTGATATTTAATTTCCTGGCATAAGTGCAAATTATTTTGTTTCTGCAATTTTTTTTCATTGTTTAATTGTTTTCATTTTTTTTTCTTTTAGCCTTATAACTCATTGTTGCATGTTTGTAATTAGTTTGTCTAACCGTTCACCTAACAGTTCGTCTAACAGGTCCTCTAACAGTTCGTCCCTCAGTGTCAGCCTCCCTGGAACTTTAACTGGGGCGCGGCCCAAAAAGATGCACCTTCGCATTACCATTCCTGGACGAAGGTTGGAGTCTCCTGTTGTCTGTCTATCATTAGAATAGCTTTCTGAGCTCTCTGCTGTATATGCTGCTTCCAAAAAGGTCCAATGTATTAAAGCTTGTTGACTTCTTGCCATGCCCCTTTGCATTCTCATTGGCATGTGCTACCATGAATACTGTACTTAACCTTTTACTTAAACACTGCCTACCAGTTTTGTTTGAACTTGCTGGCCAGTGTTTACCTTTGTATAGTCTTGTGTGGTGGGACTCTAATCTTATATATTTGTGTTTATTCATTTATTTATTTTTTTTGCAGTCTGATTTTTCTCAAATGACTGTAACAACCAGCTGAGTATCTGACCATCACTGGCAATTTAGTTATATTTTTGACACTATGCGAGAGTTTGAATTATAATTAGAGTATTCTAGATCATAATGGAAATGGGGAATACAAATACTGTATAGGTGTTATAATGTTGCTTATGGAATAAGGTAATTATATTAGTTTACCCCATATAAAATGGAAATGCAAGCAGGATGTTTTGCTAATATAATCTATACTGCATTTTAAATGATCAGTATTGTAAATTTTGTATTTAGATTGAATTATCATGATCAATTGTGCCATTTACCACTTTAAAATCTTCCAATTTGAAAAATTATTGTTTGTACCCTGGCATTGTTGATGCTGTTGTCTGGTGAAGTGTGTTCATTTAGGTCATCCTAAAACAGATACAGTAGAGTAGAGTACAGGTATATGGGTCTGCCTGCAATGGTCTTATTCATTGTAGAATCTTCCCATATTTTTATGGTTATTTACCCCCCCCCCTCCCCCACCTTACTGTAAAACCACCAGAAAGACTTAAATCCTCTGCTCATGAATTCTACAGCAGTCACTTTTTTTTTTTTTTATTAAACTTGGAAATAAGAATATGTGGACAAGATCATCAGGATAAAGATAGTTGGCAGGAAGCAGGATAAAAGAAACCATAAAGAGGAAATGGTAAATGAGTATCCTGGAGAGATAATTTGGAAGGGAAAATTTTTCAGCACTTGATGAATGAGGTTGGGTTCATCTGAATGGCCATTGAAAAGAATAGCAGCATAGAAGAAAATGTAGCCAGTTCCCCCACCCCCAAGTAATGCTTCATATGTAAACCAACTCTAATCAGTTAAACAGAAGTTATTAACCTGCATGAGAAAATTTATTGGCTTATAATGTGAAGCTGTAGCTGTTTGGTATATTGCAGATTCTTCATATAATATATGTAAACCTGTAATGTGTGCCTTTTGTCCATATGTTTCATTTCGTCTCCACATTAACTTCGTGTCACCTGAAGTGATGCTATGTATTCTCTCGGTATACTTCTTGAGGTAACTTTATTATTTTACACTAAACACCATAGCTATATATTTACTGTAGCTTGAATCGGCTGTATACTTACTAAATTTCTTAACTAACTGATTATGCACTTACTGCAAAGAAACCAAGGCATGCTGTAAAATTTGTGAAGAATGACACTAAATTCTGTTTAATAAGTAATTAATATTTAAAAATAAAATGTAAAAGGATCACTTTAAGGTAAAGTGCATTTATTTGTGTAAGGTTAGTAGTGAACTGAATACAGTACTTTACTAGTGAAAGACTAGATGGTGTGACAGCATGTATATGTGTATAGTGCTGTATACACACACACACACACACACACACACACACAAACTTTATATACAGTAAACAGTTGTTCATGAGATGTTAAAGATATTCCTGTCTAGGGTACATGGAGTGTATTGAAAGCTGTCAAGGGGTTTTTCACCATAAAAGAAGTACCGTACACGCTTGATATTCAGCAATAGTTTGAAATAAGAGGAGTGTGTGATGATACTGTTACTGTTTAATGAGATCTATGAGATAAAGAATGGGTAACTCAAGTGAAACTTGCCGTAGACTTGATGACATGATAACTTACACATTTATTGTATGTATAAGATGGTGTGTGAGAGAGAGTTGGAGAGAATACTTGTATAATTTGATAAAGATTGCTAGAGAAGGCGATCAAGAGCAGTACCGGGCATGCTGCCTCCTTATGTACCGAAAGCTTAGTATACAGTACTATGTACAGTGTGCTGTATCCACACTGTCCCTAACAGGCAGTCATGTCTATGCTACCCTCTTGTCACTCAGTGAAAAAAAAATCAAATAAAAATCAAATGGGGCACTGAGTATTAATTAATAGGAAGACTGTGACAAAGGAATGGTTGTTTGCTTACATATTGCAAGTCTCGGTGCCTCGGAGCATTATAGATGTCTCGGCAATAGAAAGAATAAGGAATGAAGATGCAAGAAGAATTTGTTGGGTAAAATGTCTGGAGTCAAAGTTGGTATTGAGTGTATGGAGTACATGGCAGGTGAGACATTGTTATGGGAGATTAATGGCAGCACAAATAAAGGCAGGAGAGTGAGATCAAGCTATAAAATAATTATGGATACATTATGTAAATGAATTCGCGAGTGTTGGAGATGTTACTTTAGATAATTGATGAAGACTGATTGTGGATTGTGTAGGATACATTGGAGTTTTTTATGTGATGGTGTGAACATAAAGTTGAAGACTCAACATTGTGTGCATAGTGAATTAATTAATGTAAAGCATTTTGAATCAGTCTGGATGTAAATGATGCACTTTATGTACTGTGTAAGTTACAGATACTGTATTTCTACTTTGCATTTTACACTTACCTTGTACCACTTCTCTCTTTGAGGGTTTGTATTTCTTGGTCCTATTGAACAGTGGGTGGAAGACAAAAGATACTAAATAAATTTATTTATTTAAAGAAGATTAAACATATACCTGTACAGTAGTTATTGTTGGAGATAACTGTATTTTTGTTTTACATGTTAATTTTATTTATTTTTTTTTTTCCTTCTACAAGGTATGATGAAGAAGTTTTAAGTCCAGATGCTAGTGAGATATTCAGTGAATGGACAGCTATGATGGCAGAAATGGGGAGCACAATTTCAGATCGGTGAGTACTATCTTAATTACGATTATGTTTGATGGTAGAAATTTCTTTTGTTCTGTCTTTCTCCCTTGCTGTGTTCTGTTAGTTGGCTGAAGAGGGTCCTAGTATACCAGCTCCAAGATTTTGTATTTTATTTCTCCAATGTGGGTTTTTACTTTATTTACAATTACACTTTCGGAATGTTATCTACAGATTATCAGGTCACCTTGCAATGTGTTACATTTATATATTACAGTATTATTTACTTTATTATTACTGTTTATATAAAAGAAAAATGTTTGAACAGTAATTACAAATAAAATATTTTGTGGCAGCTAAGGCATGGTAACTGAGCATGGTTGTTGATTGGCATAATTAGGAAAAACAATTCTTCTTCAAGATACTAAATTTACGTTTGAGCTTAAATTTTACTACAGTTTTGCCAGATTCTTGTTTAAGAAAATTAACCAAAACAGGACTAATACCTGTACACTGTAATGAAATCCAGGCTGGTGTTTCTATTTAAAGTCAGTCAGATTATTTATATACAGTGGTCCCTTGGTTAACGAACACAATTCGTTCCAGAAGGTCGTTCGTTAACTGAAAATTTCGTTAACCGAAACCATTATTTCAATGGTATTTTGGGTAATTGGTTCCAGCTCACCGAAAATTACATACAAAGTAAAAATAAATGCAGTAAAGTACACTTACTTTGAGGTGTGTATGTAGAAGGCCCTTGGTTGATGATGATGATGATGATGATGATGAGAATTAGAAGTGGGGGTGGAGGAGAAGGGAGAAGAGAAGGAATTGGGGGTGGAAGAGAAATCACCCCATGCTTCATGCCGTCATTTCACCCATAAAATTTTAAGTTCACTGTGTAATTCAAGATTATTTTCTTTAAATCAACACTGCACTGCACTATATATTGTCAATATGTAAAATAAATTTCAGAATGACCAATAATTGTACTGTAAAAATAGTTTATGTTCAAGAGTCTCGAGCAAGATGTTATCTCTACTGACCAGAGATGCAAACTGACGCCTGTTTGGTGAGTTGAGTGGCTGTTTAGCTCACTGAAAACTAGTTTCCTGTACTTCAATATGTTAAATAATTGTTAAAATGACTAAAAATTTTAATATAAAACTTGGAAAATTATTGAATAGTGCAACCTTCTTGATATTTACTCAAATGGGAACGAATTTAAGCCCTAGAACCGATTACTGTATTGGCAGACTAATATTCCAGCTGGTGAGCAAGCGAAAACATGTTGCGAGGAATTCGTTAACCGAATTGAAAATTCTTATGGAAGGTAATTTGTTAACCGAAATTTCGTTAACTGAGGCGTTCGTTAACCGAGGGACCACTGTACAGTATGCAACACACGGTAACTGGGTGCCCTGTGGGCCCAGGCTAGACCAGCAGGGGATCTTGGAGCAGCAGTGGGCCCCAGAGGAACGGTGCATAGGCCCACTAGCATGTGGGCATGTCCTGGCGCCTAACAACCACTGTCCCGATGCCTTTGCGGATTAACCTTGATAGGTACAAGGCTACGGGAGTAAACCCCAAACGAAAAATCTGCTGTGGAGCCCTGCATCAGGCAGACATGCTTACAGAGCTCCAGTAAGACCCCAAGGGTGGTATAGACGGAAGAGGTGACCATCATGGGAACCCAATGACTGTACCGGCGGATAAAGGCAATGCATGACGGACAGGCTACTAAGGCTAAACCCAACAAACTGGGCTATCGGCATTCCATTGCACCTCTCCCAAGTTGTTGCAACACTTGCACCACTGGATCAGGAAAAGGGAGAGCCAAGATGTGTGGTTGCAGCCTGCACTCCTGCCTCACCACATAAATCAACTCATGCACAGCCATCGTCCAGCTCATCATACTTCTCATCGTCATCAAAACCCTTATACCCCCAAAAGTCCTGTGGCGACGGGGACAGGCAGAGATGGCTGCCAAGAATCTCTAGTCACAACTCTACACATGGGTGGCATAGACAAGATGGTCGTTTATGCACTGGGAATCTAGGCAGCAGTGTAATCCGATCCTGTCTTTGCGACTGAGCAGCCCTTTCAAGGAGCCACTCTGCTCACCCCACATGGGGAGGGGGCTAGAAGATGCACCCTAAACATAGCCTGCTTAGAGAACCAACCTGACTGGGCAACTGCACCCAGTACGGTCATCCTTATGCAGTCAGAAACACAATCATAATCAAAGATCAAAACAAAAACAAACTAAACAACCTCTTGTGGTCACTGCATGGGATGTCGGGACCCTTCTGGATACAGGCACAAATGAGCGTCCTGAAAGAAGAACCGCCCTTGTGGCAAAAGAGCTGGCTAGGTATAACATCGACGTAGTGGCCATTAGTGAGTCCTGGCTCCCAGACGAGGGTCGACTCGCAGAACGGGAGTCTGGCTATACCTTTTTCTGGAAGGGTAAGCCTGCTGTGGAGAGAAACCGCATTTATGGAGTTGGCTTTGCCATCCACCAATGCATCCTACATAGGCTAACTGAAATCCCTTTTGGGATCAATGAGCACCTTGTGTTGCTCAGAGTCCCATTGAATCACTCGCGTCATGCCTTCTTCATCAGTGCATACGCTTCAACACTGGATGCAAAGGATGACAGCAAGGAGGCCTTTCACGCCAACCTTGACAGAGTGCTAACCTCTATCCCTAGAGAAGATAAGGTTGTGCTGCTTGGTGACTTCAATGCTAGAGTTGGCAGGGAATAATAAGGAGAAATGGACTAGGCAAGTGTAATCCCAACGGGGTACGCTTTAACTGACTGGCAGAACAACCCTCAGTCTCGGACCAAAGCTAATACCCTCCGCAAGAAGAAAGCGGCAGCCCAGCGCGAACTTTGCAATCTAAAGAACAACTGGTTTGAAAAAGAAGCATGTGAAACACAAACACTTGCAGATCAACACAAGATGCTCGAATTTTTCAATTCCACTAAAACAATTTATGGGCCAATCACTCGTGGCGCAGCTCCTCTCTGCTCATCCGATGGTAACTCCCTACTTAAGGACGAAGAAGGCATCCTTCAATGCTGGAAAGAGCACTACCATTTGCTGCTCAACCGAAACACCAAAGTGGATGTCCTGGCTACCAGCAGGTCCCTCAGCATCCAGAGCTGACCCACTTCAGCTATCCTCCTTCCCTGGATGAGGTAGCTACTGCCATCAAACAGATGAAATATACCAAAGCCTCCGGGCCTGATGGAATCCTAGCTGAGGTATATAAAGCAGGAGGACCTTTGCTTACCAGCCATCTCCACTCTATCCTGGGAAAAGGAGGAAATCCCCCAAGCAAGGGAGACCAGTCAGACTGTGGCAACTACCGCGGGATCTCGCTGCTTTCCTTAGCTGGCAAGATTATCACCCGAGCCCTCCTAAACAGACTTCTTCATGAGGCGGAAAACTTCCTCCCAGAATCTCAATGTGACTAGACCATCACGTGGCACCACTGACATGATTTTTGCTGCCTGCCAGGTACAAGAAAAGTGCCATGACCTGTACATGGCCTTTATCGACCTAACCAAGGCCTTCAGCTCGGTCAACAGGGAAGCCCTCTCGCAGATCCTCAGCCGTTTTGGCTACTCACCAAAATTCACCACCATTGGGAGGCAACTCACGATGGCATAAATGGCAGTGTCCTACACAATGGCACCCAGTTTGAGTTCTTTCCCATCCAAAAGGGGGTAAAACAAGGATGTGTACTAGCACCAACTCTCTTCTCCATTTTCTTGGCTGCCTTCCTTACTTGTACCAGTGCCAATTTAGTCAGCGGGGTGGACATCAAGTACTGGATGAAGGATCTTTTGAACATAAGACGACTCCAGGCAGGAACAAAGGTGTTGGCAGCTTCCATTACTGAACTTCAGTTTGCAGACGACCTCACACTGAACGCGACCAACGGGAGATCCTGAACACATATGCAGATGCTTATGCACACACCGGCCCTGAGATGACTGTACATAAGACTCAGATTCTCTTTCAGCCTTCCCCTGGTTCAACCACACCTTCACCATCCATCCAGCTTAGTGTTACTACCCTCTCTAATGTTACCCACTTTCAATATCTCCGCTCCCACCTGTCCACCACTGTGGACATCGATGAAGAGATTCAACATCAGATCAGATGTGCATCTCAAGCCTTTGGCAGGCTCATTACCCATGTCTTCAGCTGTAGGGAGGTGAAATTATCTACAAAGTTGACGTATATCGAACTGTGGTCCTCCCCATCCTGCTGTATGGCAGCGAGACATGGGCCACATACAGGAGGCATCTCAAGGTATTTGAAAACTTTAACCAATGTAGTCTATGCTCCATCCAAGTTCGCTGGGAAGACAAGAGAACAAATGCCAGTATTCTCGCTGACACCAACTGTAGGAGCATCGAGGCTACCATTATCCATGAACAGCTATGCTGGATTGGCCATGTTACCCACATGGATGACAATAGACTGCCAAAGCAGCTACTTTACAGTCACCTGAGGTATGGTAAATGTAATGCTGGCGGGCAACTGAAAATGTATAAGGATATTCTTAAGACAAATCTGAATAAGTGCCAAATCGACCAACAAGCCTGGGAGACGATTACTCCACATCGTAACGCTTGGAAGAGCACCACATGAGAAGGTATCAATCCTTTCGAGTTTGCCCAACTGCATACTGTAGCAGACCAGCGTCGGAAAGACGTTGCCACCGCCCCTGTAGCACTAGATGTAGCCCTCCACACATGCAACTTCTGTGATCGACCCTGCCGGTCCTGTATCGGCCTCTTTAGTCACCAGAGAAGTCACCAACGAAGGTGACAACCTTAATATAACTCATATCATTGTGTCATAGCTGGGTGATCGTCATACTCGTTTCCGAGTGACAGCAAAGTAGTAGTACTAGTCTACAGTATGCATGGGACTGTAAGCCATGATTAGAATTTTCGTAATTTTCATTCGTTTGTTATCTACATGTCTAGTGGGATAATTTGTACACATATTTAATTTCTTGTT